TGAATAAATGAGAAAACATAAAGAGAGGATAAAATAGTAATTTTGTTTATTGTAATATAGCGATTTGTGACATTTTTTAAAGTGTTTGAAATAATGGTGTTTTTTAAAATTTTTTTTTGAGAAATGGCAATTTTAATAATAATCTCTAATAAAATATTCAGCTACTCATGTGTGAAAGCAAAACCTTATGAAGCGCTTTCTATTCTATGGACCCCATATAAAACGAAGGAAAGCAACTACGACTATTGTCTGATTTTTTTTTTTTTTTAAACTCCATAAACAAAATTCTTATCAAAATCGTAGTGAACAAATAATTACGCTTTACGAAATAAAAAAATCCATTCATTTTGTTATAAAAAGATGCACAAAGAGCATCTTTGCTAGGAAAATATAAATTAAATAAATTATGGTAAGTAATTAAAGAAGTGTATGTTGCTATCAACATTATTACCATACGTGTCTGTTACCAATGCATAACCCAATGAATACGCAATAAATATGTCTTGTTGGAAAAAAGGTTTAATCAGCTACATTCACACATCTACAGATATGTTTAATTCTCATCCACTCGATCAGATTTGGTTTAATCTCAGCCGTCAAATATTAATCATCCGTACTGGTCTTAGTAAAAGTGAGATGTAGAGAATAATTTTGAAGCTTCCCCAGTATCTGAAAACGTGTCAGCTAAACGGTTTCTTTTTCCTTCTCAGTATATAAAATTAATAAATTAAATTAAAAACCAAGAAATTAAAAAAAAGCGTTTAGATTCCAGAAATAAAGGAACAGAGACTAAACAAAAGTAACGAAATTTAGAGCTCTGGGATTTTTTTTTTCTTTTTATTATTTCCCACGAATCAGAGTATTGTACACGTTCGTAGAATTTCCCAGCTTAAATTTCTAAATTAAGTTTTTTTTTTTTTTGGATTTCACTGTCTCTTCATCTCTATATAACTTTTTACTCAGACACAGGAGTGTCTCGTGTTCTTGAGCACAAAGTAGCAGAAACAAAGCATAAAAATCTTTCCTTTGCGTCGAGATTAAACAGCATCTACGCAACATACCCAAAAAAAAAACTCAGGTTTCTTCATCTTCTTATTAATCTATCGTTCTTCGATCTGTTGTTTTTAAATCTCTAGATTTGGTTTTTTATTGTCTTTTGAGATGAGTTAAGTATGTTCTGTAGTGTGCGAGATCTAAATCGCAGCTTCGAGATTCTGATTGTGTCGGTGGTGTCCGATGATTAATTGATGATTAGGAGAAATCGGTAATGTTCATCTTTGTGGGGTTTTAAGAGTTGCTTAATCTGGAGGTTAATCTAGCTGCTGAGATGTCTGATTGATTGATGAATCCTTTGTGGTCTAAATTGAATTATCTTAATACCTTTGTTTCGTAATTATCAAGCTTTACGCTTGATGATGCGTGAGAATCTGGGAACTTGATTGTGTCGGCTTTATGTGTTTAGTATCTTCTTCTTTCTATTTCTGACTCTGAAAACTTACTTGGGTTCTCAAATTTGTGTTTGTGTTGATAGGTTTTTTGTGTCTGAATCGAGCCTGAATTCTAGATTGTTACTGATTCCTGAAAGATTCAGGCTTATAGCTCGAGGATTCGAAACCCGGGTTTGATTCGGGAAGACATCGGTTTCAGAAGCTTGTTTTCTTGTCTCATGATCGTAGGTTTGCTGCAATGGGGTATGTAAACGTGGAGAAGAGATGGGTTTTTCCTCTTGTAATCACATCTCTTGTCTGCGTTTTTCTCCTTGCAACCTCTTTCAACATGGGCCTTGTCTCTTCGCTTCGAAAAATCAACGGGATTTTCTCCATCATCCCTTCCCGTCTCGTCAAGAATCAAACCAGGCTCGATTTTGCAGAGTCCAAAGTTGCTAGGCAAACACATGTTTCGTCTCACGAAGACAAGCTTCCCCGTTTTGCGTACCTTGTTTCCGGGTCTAAAGGAGATGTAGAAAAGCTCTGGAGAACGCTTAGAGCAGTGTACCATCCGAGGAACCAGTATGTTGTTCACTTGGATCTTGAATCACCGGTGGATGAGAGATTAGAGCTGGCTTCTCGGATTGATAAGGATCCTATGTATTCTAAAACAGGGAATGTCTATATGATAACTAAGGCTAATCTTGTGACGTATAGAGGACCGACAATGGTGGCAAATACGCTTCACGCTTGTGCCGTTCTTCTTAAGAGAAACGCGAACTGGGATTGGTTTATCAATCTTAGTGCTTCGGATTATCCTCTGGTGACTCAAGATGGTAAGAAAAGCTTTGATCTAACTTATGTTCTCATTTTTCATCGAGGTTTCAATTTCTGTGTTTGATTAACGTACTGTCAATAATCTCTGTTTTTGAAGATCTGCTTCATACGTTTTCCACATTGGATCGGAACCTCAACTTTATTGAACACACAAGTGAATTGGGTTGGAAAGAGTAAGCTTTTTCGTGTTCTTGAGTTTCGTCTTTAGTCAAATCTTGTGTTCTTGTGGACTGATTTGTTGTTTCTTTGTGAAGGGAGAAGCGAGCAATGCCATTAATGATTGATCCTGGACTCTACTTGTTGAACAAATCAGATATTTTTTGGGTCACACCTCGTCGAAGTTTGCCTACCGCCTTTAAGTTATTCACTGGTCAGTCCTCCAACTCCTCTAAACTGAATTTGAACCATTGTTGCTATAGATCAGTAGTTTCATAGGATCAAAAATCTTCCCGCGCGTCAAAGATTGGAACTTTTCCTGTTGTTGCTGTAGATCCATAGGATCAAAACTTTTCTTTGTTGTTGCTATAAATCTGTTGGATTAAAACCCTTCTTGCCCTACGTAGTTTGAATTTTGTACGTTGCTGTTGTCACAGGATCAGCTTGGATGGCTCTATCACGTTCGTTTGTAGAGTATTGCATATGGGGATGGGACAATCTACCTCGAACCATGCTAATGTATTACACCAATTTCGTTTCATCACCCGAAGGTTACTTCCAGACGGTGATTTGCAACGTGCCCGAGTTCTCAAAAACCGCCGTAAACCATGACCTTCATTACATCTCCTGGGACACCCCGCCGCAGCAGCACCCACACGTGTTATCCCTCAATGACACGGTGAAGATGATATCGAGCGGTGCTGCATTTGCTAGGAAATTCAGAAGAGACGACAAAGTACTCGATATGATTGATAAGTTGCTTCGACGGAGGAATGGCGAAGATGGTTTTACTCCTGGTGGGTGGTGCAGTGGGAAACCAAAATGCTCCATGGTCGGTGATGTGGCTAACCTTAAGCCTAGCGTTGGAGCTAAGAGGCTTCAGGGACTTGTGGACAGGTTAGTCAACGAGGCTAAAACCGGACTTAATCAGTGTAAATAGTTCGAATTCGACAGAAAAATTAATCATTTTGGGAACTTGGAATCGAAAAATTCAGGGAGAGTGAGACTGTTCTTACG